TCCTCTGATGCTGCTTGGCCTGCTGCGTTCATCCAGCTCTACACCTTGTTATCTCAGTCTTAGTGTTCCCTTGTTAAGTGACCGACCAGGTTTTTGCAGACATTGATGATGGAGGCCTTGAGGGCGAAACAGAGGCTGTTGGAATCCAGTGACTCGGTATCGCTCAGGGTTGCTAGGTTTGTGGAGACGAGTTGGTTGTATGAAGCTATTTTTTCCAAGTCTTTGAGTGCCTCAGTGTTGAAGTTTTTGCGGCACTGCTTCTGTCTCCGCTGCAGCGCTGCTATATTTATGTTGATCCTGGCTCAGATTAGGCCGTCCAGCAGTCATCGGCTCCTGTCATAGCACATATGATTTTAATGTCTTCCTGATCCCTCATTCTGACGATGATGTAGTCAAGCAAGTGCCAGTGTTTGGAGCACTGGTACTGCCATTGTCCCTTTGATGGAACAATGTGTTGGTTATGAGAAAGTTGTGTTCACTGCATTTGGTCAGGAGAAGGGTGCCGTTGGAGTTTTGCTTCCCAAATCCTTCTTTCCTGAATGCATCGCCCCAAGGGGTGCATTTTTGCCAACTTTGGCATTGAAGTCGCCGAAGATGATTAGTTTGTCCACTGCAGAGACCTGTGAGAGAGACTGGTCAAGGCTGGAGTAGAATTCCTCTTTGTCCTCAGATGGATAAGATGGAAGTGGTTACCTGGTCTACAACTGCCTGATCACACAACTAACTATCTGCCCTCCCTCCTTTACCTTCTCATACTTCACTCAACCTCTTCTGCTCAAACAGCTCCAGGGACTGAGATCCCAGCACTGTTCCCGCCTTGTCTCTGGCTGCCTCCAAACTAGGCCTTCTGGTGCTCGGAATGGGGCCTAGCACGGGCTACACAGCCTACAAACTGCCTGCCCATCAGCTGCAGCTCCTGTTGCTGCTGCAGCTGCAGCGAGATTTTCATAACATGGCCCCAGTAATTTGAAAACAATACCCCCCATTCAGTGTTTAAACAACTACCACCCCCCCCCACCAACCAAGTAATTTTAAAAATAATACGCTATTCAACTACTAAACAGCAACTGTTCAAATATGGTAACATCTGATAAACACACCTTTGGCAAAGGCAGTATCAGTAAGACAGATTGTCTCACATGGGATTCTGGCAGCGGGGGTGGGGGAGGGGAAGAGAGAGAGAGAGACACACAGAGAGATTCCACAGTCAATTTCAAGCCTCAGCAACTGCTAAAAGTTAAACTATAAACTTGGTTATGTGGAAGCCTGACTCCAGCTATTCATGCTGAATCTATTATTCTGACTTTTAAAAAAAAACTCAAGGCCTCGCAAGCTGTTTACTTTATTAACTTTGAATAGACAGCTTGACAACTACGGCTCAAAACCTCTCTTCAAACCAAAAAAAAGGACAAAATATACCTCTTGAAGCCATAATATCATTAAAATGACATGACTTCTAATTTATGCAACTTAAACTATATTCCATCAAAACCCCAAAACTCACACATAATCACAATTAAGACAGACATAAAGTGAACAATTTTACACTGACACTGAAATAACTCCACAAAGGCTGGTATCCCATCACGAAGTCCCCATTTATTTACATGGGGAAAGTCCTCGACACTGATCCAGCTCCCTCAGAGCCAATTCTCAGCATCTCATTAAAGGTTAAACCAAAGTCACATGCCTCTGCCAGTCGTCTTAACCTTGTCAAAAATCCCCATACGAATTCCCCTGGTTCTTGAATTGCCGAATAACACTGATAGTGATTCAGAATTAGAGGACGCTTGGGGTTGTAATATTCCTTAACTAAATCCGCCAACTCTTAAAACGTTTTAGTATCTGGTGCCTTAGGGAAAGCTAGGTTCCTAATAACCAAAAAAGCTGTGGGTCCACTGGAAAATTACTTTGTTTTTCATCTGCTCAATGTCATTTGCCTGGAAAAAAAAAGCATTCTTTCTACATAGTGGGCCCAGTGTTCAACAGCAGGTTTGAACGAGTTAAGCTTCCCAAATCACGGCATGGTACCAGAAATGCTTACCCAAGACAAAGACAACTGCTGTGAGCAAATTTCTTCAGAAGCACGCTTTTCTCTTTTTGCCACAGGCCGGTATCCCATTACCCGGTCACTCTTTATTTACATGTGCGAAGTCCTTGACATTGATGCAGTTTCCTCAGATCCAGCTCTCAGAATGAACAGAACCTGTGACACTCCTGTTTATGTCTGTCTGCCAGGGTTCCCTGATTGGAACAGATTAACAGTCCCAATCAGGAGATAGATTGTGTTAATGATAGGTGTCTTCTTTTGGATGGGGGATTTCAAGACAAGGAAACATATTTTTAAGATGAGAGGAGAGAGATTTAAAAAGACATGAGGGGCAAATTTTTTACACAGAAGGTGATTCACGTGTGAAATGAAGTTCCTGAGAAAGTGGTGGATGCGGGTACAGTTACAACATTTAAAAGACATTCAGATAAGTACATGCATAGGAAAGGTTTGGAGGGATATGGGTCAGGAGCAGACAGGCGGGACTAGTTTAATTTGGGATTATGGTCAACATGGACTGGTTGGACTGAAGGGTCTGTTTCTATGCTATATGACTCTATGATGAGTCCACCTGGCTGACCTCATTATAATACGACATATACTATGGGTGGAAAACAAATATAAAAAGGGTAAACCAAATTCTGTTGCTAAAATTAGAAGTATTTCCACACTCCCCACTAGCCCAACCACTTTCTGGCACCTTTCCCTGCAACCACAGGAAGTGTTACACCTGCCCCTACACCTCCCCCCTCACCTCCATTCAAGGCACCAAACAAACCTTTCACATCAGGCAGAGGTTCACCTGCACATCCATCAACTTGATCTACTGCATCCACTCTCCCGATGTGGCCTTCTCTACATTGGTGAGGCCAAGTAGAGACTTGGAGACTGCTTTGTAGAGCACCTGCGCTCTGTTCATGACAAATGACAACACTTTCTGGTCACGAACCATTTCAACTACCCTCTCCCACTCCCTGGGTGACATGTCCATCCTGGGCCGCCTCCAGTGTCACAAGGATGCCACCCGGAAACTGAAGGAGCAGCACCTTATATTCCACCTTGGGAGCCTACAACCCAATGGCCTAAACATGGATTTTACCAGTTTCAAAATCTCCCCACTCCCTGCCTCATCCCATGTCCAACCCTCCCTCTCATCCCCGCCTCCTTGACCTGACACAACCTGTCCGTCTTCTACAAATCAACAAATGGTATGTGGAAGGCTTTCAAGTGTAAGTTGCTGGGAACTCAGGACCATCATGTTCCTTTAAGGATGAAGGATAGGTATGGCAAGTTTAGAGAACCTTCGATAATGAGAGATATTGTGAGCCTAATCAAAAAGAAAAAGGAAACATTTATCAAGACTAGGAGGCTGGGAACACATGAAGCAAGGGTGGAACCAAGGAAAGTCAAAAGAAACTTAAGCAAGGAGTCAGAAGGGCTAAAAGGGGTCATAAAAAGTCATTGGCCAACAGGATTAAGGAAAATCCCAAGGCTTTTTATACATATATAAAGAGCAAGAGGGTAGCCAGGCAGAGGGTTGGCCCACTCAAGGACAGGGAAGGGAATTTATGCGTGGAGCCAGAGGAAATGGGCGAGGTATTAAATGAGTACTTTGCATCAGTATGCACCATAGAGAAGGACTTGGTGGATGATGAGTCTGGGGAAGGGTGTGTCGATAGTTTGGGTCATGTTGTAATCAAAAGGGAGGAGGTATTGGGGATCTTGAAAAACATTAAGGTAGACAAGTCCCCAGGGCCTGATGGGATATACCCGAGAACAAGAGAAAGGCAAGGGAGGAAATTGCTGGGACCTTGAGGGAAATCTTTGTATCCTCACTGGCTACAGGGAGGTCCCAGAGAATTGGTGAATAGCCAATGTTGTTCCTTTGTTTAAGAAGGGTGGCAGGGATAATCCAGCTAATTACAGGCCGGTGAGCCTTACGTCTGTGGTAGGGAAATTACTGGAGAGGATTCTTTAAGACAGGATTTACTCCCACCTGGAAATCAATGGGCATATTAGCGACAGGCAACCTGGTTTTGTGAAGGGGAGGTCGTGTCTCACTAACTTGGTTGAGTTTTTTGGGGAAGTGACGAAGATGATCGATGAGGGTAGGGCAGTGGATGTTGTCTACATGGACTTCAGTAAGGCCTTTGACAAGGTCCCTCATGGCAGACTGATACAGAAGGTAAAGTCAACGGTCAGAGGTGAGCTTGCAAGATGGATAAAAAACTGGTTCAGTCATAGAAGACAGAGGGTAGCAGTGGAAGGGTGCATTTCTGAATGGAGGGCTATGACTAGTGATATTCCTCAGGGATCAGTGTTGGGACCTTTGCTGTTTGTAAATGATTTGGAGGAGAATGTAACTGGTCTGATTAGTAAGTTTGCCGATGACACAAAGGTTGGTGGAATTGCAGATAGCGATGAGGACTGTCAAAGGATACAGCTGGATATAGATCAGTTGGTGACTTGGGCAGAGAGATGGCAGATGGAGTTTAATCCAGAAAAATGTGAGGTAATGCATTTTTGAAGGTCTAATCCAGATGGAAAATATACAGTAAATGGCAGAACCCTTAAGAGTACTGATGGGCAGAGGGATCTGGATGTACAGGTACACAGGTCACTGAAAGTGGCAAAGCAGGTGGAAAAGCTAGTCAACATGGCATATGGCATGCTTGCCTTCATCGGCCGGGGCGCTGAGTTTAAAAATTGGCAGGTAATGTTACAGCTTTATAGAACCTTAGTTAGGCTGCATTTGGAATATTGTGTTCAATTCTGGTCGCCCACATTACCAGAAGGATGTGGTGGCATTGGACAGGGTAAAGAAAAGATTTACCAGGACGCTGCCTGGTATGGTGGGCATTAGCTATGAGGAGAGGTTGGAGAAACTTGAATTGTTCTCACTGGAATGACGGAGGTTGAGGGGCGACCTGATAGATGTCTACAAGATTATGAAGGGCATGGACAGACTGGACAATCAGAAGCTTTTTCCCAGGGTGGAAGAGTCAGTTACTAGGGGCCATGGGTTTTAAGGTGTGAGGAGCAAGGTTTAAAGGTGATGTACAAGGCAAGTTTTTTATACAGAGGGTGGTGGGTGCCTGGAATTTGCTGCTGGGGGAGGTAGTGGAAGCAGATACTATAGTGACTTTTAAAGGGCATCTTGACAAATACATGAATAGGATGGGAATAGAGGAATATGGTCCCCGGAAGGGTAGGGGGTTTTAGTTATGATGGGCAGCATGTCACCGCAGGCTTGAAGGGCCGAAGGGCCTGTTCCTGTGCTGTAATTTTCTTTGTTTTTTGTTCTTGTTTGTTCTCTCCCACCTATCCACTCCTCCCCCTTCACTGACCAATCCCCACCACTCCTTACCTGCGCTCACCTATCACCATCCCACCTACTGTCCCCAGCCCCACCCCCTCCGCTCTCTATTTATTTCTGAGCTCACTTCCCCCCTCCCCCATTTCTGAAGAAGGCTGCCGACCCAAAACATCAACTTTCCAGCTCCTCTGATGCTGCCTGGCCTGCTGTGTTCCTCCAGCTCCACACTGTGTTATCTCAGACTCCAGCATCGGCAGTTCTTACTATCTCTAATATTTTGTTGGAATTTGTCTTTTGCACTCACTGGCCAATTAGCAAGAATACCAATACAAGCAGGAAACAACATTGTTATATTTTAGAAGCAGAGGCATCCAATATGGGCTTTGCGTGTAAGTAGAACAGAATAGAATAGCCTTTATTATCATCTGCATGTGAATGAGTGCAGTGAGAAGTTTGTAATGTCGCCTCTCGGCACCATCTTAGGTACAGTGTACCTCGGTACAGGTACGTTAAGTGTTGTTACAGAATTGAAATACTAAAACAAAAGACTAACATGGGAATAGAGTTTAAAAGTCCAGAAAGAGAATAAAAAGTGTCTTCAAAGTACTCAACTTATAGTCCTTTCTCATTGAGTCTGTGCGTGCTGGGTTTCAGAACGCGAGGCCTCACTGCCTCCATGAACCAGCCTCTGTCCCAGACTTGCCTCCATGACTCATTCACCGAACCGGCCTGGGCTTGCTCTGCTCCCACTCCGGGATATGGCTGCAACTCGGCTCCTAGCTCCCAGCTCACCCCACGCTCGCTCGGCTCCCACTCCCGCCACAGCCCGTTTCCGGAACTCGGCCTGCGCTTGTTCTGCTGCCACACCGGCCACAACTCGTTTCCGGAACTCAGACGCTCAGGTCGCGACTCGGCTCCCACACTAGGCTAGTGTTGGACTCCATTCTCCGTTCCCTCCAGGTAGGGTACTTTACGAAGTTAAAATTTGGAGGGGGCGAAGAAAAACTGCAGCAAGAGGAAAAAAAGCAAGAGGAAATGGAGCTGGACAGCAGAAGAGCACCAGCTGGAGCACGTTACTCCGCTGCCATCTCAATTGGCTACACGGGTGTTTTACTGGTGGTGATTATTAGTTTAAATAAAGCAAAAACAGAATCATGATGATTTTGGTGGAAAGGTCGCTCAAGTTGCGATAACACTTCTGGGAAGGGGAAAAATAGAACTAGAAGCATGCTACTTGGGTTGCCACTGAATTCCAAGTGGTTGAGCTATTGTAGTGGAGAATGTATCAGTTAGATGACTGATAGTTAATGGCAAAATTTAGTTTAAATTTAAACCAAAGGTTAACCGCATTATTGACTCATATAGGTCATTGTTTACAAATAAAGGGTCACCCATTTAAGACAGAGATGGGGAAACATTTTTCCTCTGAGTGTTGAGAATCTTCGGAATTCCCTTCCTCAAAAGGCAGTGGATGCAGCACCTTTAAAGATTTTTTAAAAGTAGAGGTAAATAGATTCTTGATTATAGGGACTATGCAAGAATGTAGAATTCAGGTTAAAATCAGATCTTTTTCTGAAGAAGGATCCAGACCCGAAACGTCAGCTTTCCTGCTCCTCTGATGCTGCCTGGCCTGCTGTGTTCATCCAGCTCCACACCTTGTTATCTCAGACTCCAGCAACGGCAGTTCCTACTATCTCTAAAATCAGATCAGCCATCGTTGGTGCGAGTTAACAGAGGTAATAAATTTTTAGGAGACGGCACAGTTCAAGGCACTCTATTCACGCATCTATCGGTACAATGCAGGGAGAGGCCAAAGACTATTCCAAATCTGGCCTCGATGTGAGGGTCTAATCACCCCCTTAATCTTCAGCTCAGATCAGAAGAAAAGTCAATGACACCTTAATTTTAAATACAAGTACATTGTCTTTTATACATTTTTCTTGGAACAGTAACATGGCAACACATGCTCCCTCTCGCTGTATACTATTGGTTAATTAGTGCTGGATTGTTGAACTATGACTAGGTTTCCAATACCTCACTCTATTAGTAAGTGTTTGTTGCTGTGATCTGAATGGGCCCTTTTGGTCTGTGGGAAACCGAACTCTCCATGGTCACTTGTGACCTTTTATTTCTCAACTATGAAGTCTGTGTCTGCTATTTTGTACAAGACAATAACAGAGTCTTCTTTGAGGTTTCTGACCATTCCAACTCTCTTAGCCGCTGTCCTTGATAAGAGATAGGGAGGCCTCTCTCTATTAATCGTAATTAGTTTTTAAATGTTTTTTTCCTAATATTTTGTTTAATGCTTTTATGTGTTAAATCTATAATTTATTAGGAAATTATATCTATGATTATCTTGAAGAATTTTAATTAAAACCCACTTGTAGTAATTTAACTGATTGATTAGAAAAAACTTAACAGAAATAACTAATTGGTATGAAATGTTCTTATCTTTAGGATAGCAAAGAATGTTGTACACCCAATCTTATTTAAACAGACAGCTATTGTTTTAAGTGCTGAGAACATAAGCCTTTCTCATACTCTCTAATTTCTGTTAAACATATCGCAAAGCTTGTTGGGGCTTTTGTCAGCCATTTTTGCTGGCATGGGCAGCCCTAATGGCCATAATCTTGCTGAACAGCAGAGCAGGCTTGAAGGGCCGAGTTCTTCGTTCATTGGACTCATCAATGTTTTCAGCACAGAAGGAGACCATTCGGCCCATCTCAGAATAATAGAATCCTGACTGTGGAAGCAGGCCATTTGGCCCATTGAGCTCACACCATCCCTCTGAACAGCATCTCAACAACGGCCATCCCCTCTCCTTACCCTATACCTGTAACCCTACATTTCCCTAGTCTGCACATTAGTGGGCACTATGTGCAATTTCCCATGGTCAATCCACCTAACCTTTGTACTGTAGGAGGAAAGCAGAGCACCCGAGGAAACTCACTCGGATACAGGGAGAATGTGCAAACTCCACACAGAAAGTCACCTGAGGCTGGAACTGAACCCGGGTCTCTGGTGCTGGCAAGGCAGTAGTGCTAACCACTGAGCCACCATGCCACCCTGTCATGTCAGCACCAGTCAATGAAAATCTGACTACACTAATTCCATTTTCTAGCTCTTCTCATAGCCCTGGGGATTATAGGAATGCAAGTGAATGTCTAACCACTGCTTAAATGTTACGTGACATTCTGACTCAATCACTCTTTCAGGCAAAGACTTCCAGATTCCCACTCCGCTCTGAGTGAAAAACATCCTCCTCAATTCTCCTCTTAGACTTCTTCTCACCTTAAATCTATGTCCCCAGATTATACCTCCATGATTTGTGGAATAAATCCTATTTATGCTCCCTCTTTGCCTCCCATAGCAGACTGGGGATTTATACTTGACAAACTAAGTTCCAAAGAAAAGTCATATTGGACTCTCCACAGATGCTGCTAGCCCTGCTGAGTTTCTCCAGCGCTTTCTGTTTTTACTTCATATTTCTGTTATCTGCAGTATTTTGCTTAAATTATCATGAAGGAGGCAACATGTCATTGCAAACACGAAGGGAAATTACGGTTAAACCAGGAAATGTTTACTGTACTTACATGGCACGAAGCCTGTCACTGACACTGGGTTGAGGGATTCCGTCTCTCCTTCCTCCCATGGGGCCTCCTTTTCTCCAAAGACACTCTGTTTTCAGAGAGAGTCCATCTGACTGTTTCAGCTGCCTCCCTGACCATCTCCACCTACTTTTGGAGGTTCCGTACATTTGCATTGTACCTTCTCCTTTGAAATAATTCTCTGAAATTCCTTGACACCCTTCCAGCTGCGACAATCCACAGTCTCTGTCAAGGGTGAGCATAATCCATACAGGAATTATCCAACCTGTCACAGAATTCCATTATTAGCCAACCCTGGCATTTATGCCCTTTTTCTAAAAAAAACTCAACCTGTCTTACTTAAAAGTTCAAGACGTCTGTAATTAATTCAGGATTGTCGTCCATTGTCACGATAAAATTAAGCAAAGGAAGATATTGTTATACACGTGGAATCGTATCTTACAGGGTAATTAGGGATAGGCAACAAATGCTGGCCAGTTAACAATAACCACATCCCATGAACAAACATTTTTAAACTAGGTCCCTTGACACTATTATTACTATCCCTTGGGTATGTCTCGTCCAATCAGCAAGACAAACCCATCACAGGTCACAGTACAGTGGTACATGGGCAGGAAGACGTTTCCTTAGGTGTCGTTATATTGACTCCGGACCTCATGAGATTTCATGGCATCAGGTGAAACATGGGCAAAGGAAACTCCCTGCTGTGGGCTATGTACAATCTCACCATTCCTCAGCTGATAAAGCAGTGTTCCTCTTGAACACCACTTGGAGGAACACCACTGAGGGTGACCAGAGCGCAGACTAGTCCAGGTGGAAATGTCAATGGCCATCACCATGATTAGCTAATTAAATCACAACTGACCATGCTAGTCGAGTTCAGAACGCTTTGTCTACTGTTTCTAAAACTGTGTCGATGGCTGCTGGTGAAGAAACCAAACAGAGAGAAAAACTGAGACAACAAGGTGCAGGGCTGGATGAACACAGCAGGCCAAGCAG